TTTTTCTTGTTGTATTTATCTAGTTTGACGGAACTAAAGACCTTTTTAAATGTCACTTTTTTAATAACCTGTCAATCAATATTCACTAACTTGATAAATAAACCCTATTGAAATTGAATTGATTAATAATAAGCTAACAGATAGATCCTTATTGATTGAATCAAAATAGGACAAGAAGAACTCTAGCATTGTCTGTCTGACCTTGGTAACCGAAGTGTAATATCAAATAAACGTTTTGACAACAAAAAAAGAACCAGAAATTATTTATGAAAAGTAAGCACATTGTTTCTTCACTAAACATTGTATAGTTGTTAGTTTTTTTGTTTCAAGACTACTCTAAAAGTAAAATTTAATACATTGAAATTCACAGTTTTTCCCTCATAACATCCGATTCTGAGATTTACACATAGTGTGATAACTTTTTCTTTCGCTTTTGTCCTTAAATTATAGAGAAAACTTAGCACACCGATCCCCTCCATCTACTTTTGAAAAAATCATTTTTTCCGACTGTGAGTCCTGGCAGAAAAGTTGCCATTTGATAAGACTTCACTCTATCTCTGAAGTAGAAAGAATCGATTCTCTGTTCACAAAAATTCTGGCTACGGTCCTGATAGCTACGGTAGTTAGAATAGAATAAAAAAATTGTTTTTTCTTGTACCTGAAACAACTTTTTTAATGGTTCTTAGTTAAACCGCTTCTTTTACGGCTGGAAAATACATCGATTTAAGCGAGCTTTTATATTGTTTGAGGCACTGCTCGTCGTTCTGTTGAATTTTCGTTGGTATTCGAACAGCTTGTTCATCAAAACAAACTTTTTTAATGTTTATCACTTGTTTAACATTTAGATTTAAATAATACCCATCAACATGTTGGTATGTACTATTTTTATAATAATCTTTTTTATAATTTATACATCTCATGTGACATTTATGATGTAGTCCAAGTGCTCTTTGGTTCTCAACATTCACGTTTAATGCCACATCTTTGACATCATGGTGTTGACTTTCACCATTGGCTACTTCTCTGATAGCAGCATTTAATAAATATGTACCAAGTTTAAGTTTACGATATTTTGATAATACACCAAGAAAACAAATATAAAATGATGTTGACACCATTTTTCTATCATATCCGGCTAATATTAATATTGACACTTGGTGAATATGATCTTAATCTTGATCCGATCTTAATTTTGTTGATCTTTTCATGGCTGTTATTCACCGTTTTCTTTTGCAATAAAGTTTGTATATAAGAAACACGATTTCAGCGAAAAATACACTTATATTCAGATCATCTTTTTATTTTAGAATACAACGGAGTTGTCAAGAGTCTTCTCTATTGTTCCTCAGAGCTTTAAACCGAGAAGCCCACTGAACAGCTGGTATGTGGGCAATGTTTAAAGCTGACTCGTCGGCAAGACTCCGACGCCAGCTGGTGCTAAGACCATTGCTGTGTGACGCACATGTCATTATACGTAATAAACAATGAAAAAACAGAAAAAAATATGTATTTCCTAAGATGGGTTCGAACCTAGTACCTAGAAAAAAATCGTCAATTAATCGGGATTAAGCGCACGATTAATCGTATGATTTTTCACGATTAATTGCCGATTTTTAGTACATGGGCTGTGACGGTCTTTCAAAATTTTGCTGCGAAATTTTTGAATTAGTCTTCATCTGAACGAAATGAATGTATGCACCTGAAATGTTCTTGTCCGAATGGATAAAACGCTTTCTCTTTGTTATTGATCCCAAATTTCTCTTTTTCTGTCTTCTCCGTTCCCCTTGTTGTCACATTTTAAAACGATTGGCTAAATTTCTGCCCGCTTACGACTATAAATAGGAAACATGTGCCAGAAAAATTTGCTTATTTTTTACGCTCGCACATGTGACTATCTTGCTATCATTTTGTACGCTAATCAATGGCTTCAATCACTTCTTCTTCTACAACGACACTGCCGGATAATTCTGAAAGGCGGTTTTTAGGCCGAAAACTGCCTCTCTTTCAGCCTCATTCGTTTTCTGGGAGAAGAAAAATTTTGAAATGAAGAAAATAGGTGATGTCGGTGTTCTCTATTGTTCGTCACGTAACAAACCCGGTTGCTGTGTATGGGTCATTTTTCATATAATCGGGAAATGTCATCAAGCAGTTTCACATGGTGGGCGAGACAAGACTCTGAATGAGATATCGTCACATTGGGCGTGGGTTCCACGAGCCGTGGTGAAAATATTTTTGAAAACATGCACTGCATGCATGTTACGACAACAAACAAAACGATGATTCAAGAATTTTCAAGATCTTGGTACAAGAAGTTTCATTAGTGTTGTTCTTGTTGATGACGACAATGACTGACGAGGGAACCGCCCCAGGTGCCCCGCTCCGATTTCGTTCGTTCATGCATCATTCGATAGGGGGTCTCGAGTAGATAAAAAGCCTAAAAGGATATCGGCTGACGACCCTTTAAGACCCGGTTTTCTGGAAAACCAGTTTTTCAGAAACTCTAAAGAATAACCAAAACCTTTGTTAATGAAACATGATTGTAGCCCGCGAAATTCTCATAAAAATGAGACATCTCCCAGCTCTACATGACCTTTCTTTGCAAAGTTATAGAATTTACAAGAAAAGCTCTAAATTAATTTCTTCTGATTTCTGCAGCTTTGAGTTGACACTGAACATTCAGGGTTTTAATTAATTAAGGTTTTGGTTATTCTTTAGAGTTTCTGAAAAACTGGTTTTCCAGAAACCCGGGTCTTAAAGGGTCGTCAGCCGATATCCTTTTAGACTTTTTACCAGCTCGATGTGCTCTATAAAACGAGGTATGAATGAAGGAAATGGAAGTTGGGCACCTGGGGCGGTTCCCTCGTGAGCCGAACCAACCGTTATGCTTGAGTGTGTTTGCTTTGACTGTTAGTGCTGCTGATGGCAATTGTGATGATTGTGTCAGACGAGTGCTCTGATTTCCTAATAATGTCGACAACACAAAATCTAAAAATAAAATAAAATATACATAGAGATAAATGAA